AAATTATTTCATAGATATTTTTTTTTCATTATTGAATATTAATTTTTCGACAATTTTAGATTTACATTTTCTATATTATCATAAATTTAATTTAATTTTATAAAAACGTTTTTAAAAACGTAAGCTACAAGCACGTTGTAATTCGTGATTTTCACTGGTTGTTGATGTAGACTTGAGATAAAATCAGTTGAAAAATAATTCAATAATAATTCAATAGGGTTTGTGAATGGATGTTGTCAAAAACAATAAGTTCGGTGAATTGTTGACAAAATGGAATTTTGTTTGACAATAATGAAAAATTAGCTAGGCAAAAGTCGTTGCTATTGTGAACTGACAAAAATGAAATTTTGTACTCAATCGTTAAAATGAAGAATGGACTGGTTGATTCAAGGAAAACAGACCTAGACACTATGTAAAAATATTAATATTTAATAAAGGTTTTCATTAGTGCAACTAAAAATTAGGGCCTGATTTTACTCGGAAAATGAGAAGTAAGTGAGTAACTATCATATACTTGTATAATGTAATTTTCGAGTGAGAAAAATTATTCCGATTGCATATCTCGTTTTTTTTTTAATTGTATACAAAAGTTTTTCTTTCAAAAACTTTGATTTTGAAAGTAAAACATTCAGTCGATAATTTGAGAAAAAATTCAAAAATCCAGTTGAAAATGAGTGATCTTATTGGAAAAGTAAAATATCCATTAGAAAATACTTATAATTCTGATTTGAAAATGAATAAAAAGTGAGTAAAAAAGCGAGACTGTAAAAACACGATCAGGCTGTAACAGTCTTTTGCTTTTCATACAATTGAAATTTTAATGCGGCAAAACTTTTATTTATTGTTATGCAGCATTAAACATATTATTGTAGGTGTTTCGAGTTCTTTTTTTTTGAAAAATCACTACTGTAAAAACAAAAATGTGTTTGGTATCCTTCACTTTACAATTTCGTTTACCAAACTCGTATACAGGTACCTAATGCAATGTTGTAAGTAGATATTTCAAATTTTACTGCATATATTCTTTATATACTTAAGTATATATGTACATAATCCCTAACTCAAGCTAATAATTTTTTTAATACAATTTCTTTAAAAATCTTGTAGGTACTGCGGGAGCTTGTAACAAACAAATGAAAAATCTGTAATTTTCGTTTGCTGTGTATTTTGTTTTGTTTTTAATAATACGTTTAATACGTACACTTTTAAATATTTATAAATACATATTTTAATAATATATTTGCAGTTATGTAAATATAGAGCATATATTGGCGTGGCTTATGTGGAGATATATGTATATAAATAAATAAAAATATCCATGGATTATATACATATGTACATACATAAGCATATGGATATAAGCTTTATTTAAATATTTTCAAAATAAACATTAATTCATACTCAAGAAAATCAAAACAGAATTCTAATGCAAAAACAACAAAAAAGAAAAAAAGAAAACCCTGAATTATAAAATTTCCATTATCTTTACATTATGTACATACATATGTATGTAAATAAAACACAAACTATGTAATGTATATTTTTACAATAATATTGTCATAACAAAAACACAAATTTTATTACACCGAGGTACAATACCTACATAAGTTCTTATGTATATAGATTCCTGTTTAATTGTTGTAAATGTGGTTTAAACTTAAAATCTGTACATGTATGTACATATGTATTTCTTATTAATTTAAAGAGATATAAGCAGTACGATAGGTCTTCATTTCATTGTACATATTTTATTTATGCCGAAATATTTTGAGCACAATATTTTTAATCCACCTCGTAGTAGAGAAGAAATTCTTTTAAATGATTGACAATATGGGGCGATTAATTTGCAACGAAATAAAAATATAAATTTGAAGTAGTTTTGAAACTCTACCCCAATGTATTTCTTACAAAATAATATAAGCACAAAAGGACATAAAAATAATAAACCTTTTTTGTTGAATCATTGAAATACGGAAATTTCTTTAGGAGAGAAACGATAAAAACCCTTTTAAAAATATACTAATTTTTATTTTTAAACCTTGCTGGAATACAAACAACTTTTATTTATTTTTTTATTATTACATGTGCGATTTTTTCTATCGAATTTGGATGTTATCATAATGGACAAATATGGTTTTTGTAATAATATGCGTAAGGCATTCTCTTTTATATTTTCCATCCAGTTAAAGTACTCTCTATCCTGTTTTAAGGCCTTGATTTTCAATTGAATTGAAAATTACGACTAAAATAAAAAGATGATATTATTATTGTTACGACGTATTATTTCTGCCGCAATATAAAATAATAAATATTTAATACATACATTTTTTGTGTATTATATTATTGAACAATAAATAACTTATTTTATATGAAAGAAATTTTCTTCTCAATTTCAAACTAAACACAAATGAAAATATTGTATGTAATTAATTGGTATTATTGTGTAATGCGCACTCGCAACAGCTATGAAAAAAAATGATGAACTTGTGTTAAAAACAAAATTCATTGTTAATTTATTTTTTATCTTTTTCGAAGCACATGTTATATGTATATAATAAATTCTAAAATTTTATACATATATTTCTATTATTCCACCGTTATTATGTAGATTATCTGCATATTTACATGTTATATGTATATCTATAATTTGATATTGTTTGTTTGTACCATGTATGCAATTACAATATGCGAGTGTATATAATGTTATGGTAGATAGATAATATGAAAATGTGTTAAAGAAAGCACGTGTATAAAAATACCACTACAATGATTTAGTTGCGCAATATTCAACAGTGTCAGTTTGTGCAATGCAGTAGTGAAAAACCTTTTGCTTAATTGTTTTTTTTTTTCAAGTAAATTTAAAATAAAAGTTACTTACTTTTACAGTTATAATTTTAACTGTAAAAGTAAGTAAAGTCTATAACAAATCATAGCGCAAATAAATAATGTACATAAATATTATCTACATTAGAACTTGGATTCTGTAGAATACATACATAACTACATAAAGAGATTGCTAAAAGAAAGAGACTGCTAATATTTGCACACTTCTGTGATCCTTTCTAATGAATAAAAGATCATTAATTTTCTCAATAAAAATCAAATTTAATTTTCAAATTTCGGAGTCAATTGAATTTCCCGAAACTTGATGAAAGAATGGGTCCAAATTTTAAGAAATTTTGTGCTTGTTTTGTTTCAGTGCTTCTTATATACGATTACCATAATTTTTTGTTGCGTTTTTATTTTTCTATTTTAATTTGTTTTTAACGTAAAAATATACATATTGCAATTTTATAATGTTCACTATTTTTACTTCTATTAACATCACTTTTGCCAATCTTTTGATCACAACTGTAGCAATTTATGTAAGTATATATTTGAGAATTTCTTCTTGTAACGAAGTTCAAAAATTAATTTTAGTATGCTACTATAACTTGTGATAAAGCACATAAAGTTAGAGTTTCCTGTGATTGATTTTGTAAAAATGAATAATATATTTCTACAATATTTGGTGTTATGCATTACATTGCATAGTAAGAATGAAAATAATAATAATAATAAAAATAATAATAATAATAATAAAAATAATAATAATAATAATAAAAATAATAATAATAAATGTTAAATAATAAAAGTGTTAATTAATTAACACTTTCCTAAATGAGATGGTAATGTAGAACAAGTAAACTTTACTCATTATGAATAAAATTTATCTAAGAATCTCTGTTTAAGTTACAACAATTTTTTATTTTAAAGTTAATGGTTTTTAAAAAGTTCTTAAAGAAAATGTGAGGGTTTAATTTAAGCATAAATTTGAAATAGGTTAACACACTCGTAAGTACAAATAATTCGGCAATCTTACTAGTATACCCAACTATGTCCCCACTTCAATTTTTGTGTTTCAATTCTATTCTGTGCGGTGTTCTGTTAGTCTTCGAATCTTTTTATATATTTTTTGAATATGTCACGCACACTATATTTTAATTTTTTCTTAATAACAGAAGATGAACCTATTTAGTCTCTTTCGCTTACTTCTGAAACGCGACCTCTTTTCTAATAGTTTTCTGTAAGTGATGCATTATTTTTAAATTTTTTTGAACTAGCTAAGTTGTAACTGCTAGAAATTTCTCCAGAAGAATAACTAAATTCAATAATTAATTTTCAAATATTTTTACAAAATAGGTAATATCAACATGACTAAAATAAGTGAATTTAAATAAGAATTTAATACTTAAATCAACTAACTTACTATCTACTTATGGTAAATATCACATTTTAAATTAATTCGGCATAAAAAGAAACTGATTTTTGCTATAACTCATAAATAACAAGTGGTGAACCAATTATGGCCAATGGCCAATATCTTTAACTGTATATTTTTATTCTATAATATTCTACAATATCTCTGGTCTTATGACTAATTAACTATTTTTAATTTTTTAATTATGTTTTTTCATAAAATTAATTCAAAATAACTTTATTCATTGAAGAAATTAATATACATGTAGAAATTAATATGGTACTTTGATTACGTTTCAACGTTTACGGTGAATTAATGGCTTTTTAAAGTTTTTTATTTTAAGAATTATGAATTTTTAATATGCTTAGTTGCCAGTTTCGTATTCTAAATAATTAAACAATCGTAACCTAAATATTTTGTTTCTAGTTAAATAAAAGTTGTAAAAAAACACCTTTAAAAATTGGGTTATTTTCTTCGTTTTCTTAATTCAGCATAATTCACAAAAATATATTATGCATGCATTAGCTATTATTCCGAATGATTTAGAAAAGTAAATAGTAATAAAAATAGAATTTTGAATGATGGTTCCAAAATTTGTTTTGTATTAAAAATTAAATACATAAAATTTTATAAACGTAATATATTATGTGTAAAAAATTTAGAAATTTTTCAATTCATATAAATAAGAACATATGTTAATATCATTTAAGTTTAGGTAGTCAAGATACACTTTGTTAAAATTTGGCAAAAAAAAAAAAAGTAGGTTTAAAAAATTTATTTTTAGCGTTACAACATATAACTTATAAAATGCAATTTTATTTTGTGTTTTTATTTTTTATTTTTCAAAGTCATGCGGTTTAACTTTCATCTACAGCCATTTTATTTTGTTGTTTTGAATTTTGTTGACGCCTTTCCAAAGCTCGTTGTTTTGCTTTTTCATATAATGGCATTAATTGACCTTGCTCTCCAAGCATTTTCAATAATTCAACAATAAATGGTAAATAATTATGTTTTCGACGAATATTTTCAATCTTATAACGTTTTTTCTTGGCAATATCATATTCCATCAATGATTTAATTCGTATGATCTCACTTTGGGAATCATCGGCACCCTCTGCACCAGAATTTTTTATTTTATCCAATTCTCGTTGATATATTAATTGTCTATCTGATACTAATGCCATTAAATTAAAAAGTACTTCACCTTCACTGTATTTTTCCATACGTTTTTCAATAATTGGCCTTACAATATCTAACCAATTTTGTGACGGTGTAACTGGACCCAAATCAATAGGCCCTTCTTTTAAACCATCCAATTCATATAGATGGCCATCAATAGGTATATAACCAATAAAATGAAAAACATCTTCATCTTTATTTATATTTGAAGTATCTAATTCGAAAAGAGTTTGTCGAGCAAATGAATTATGCACTTTACGTATTTCGGATGCATTACTCAATGTCAAACCTTTATTATACGGGTCAAAGCTTGAACAAAATTCTTTAAAATCTGTTAGTGTGGAACCAAGTTTTATATCTGGATGATTACTGTTTAATAAAATACTTAATATAGCCTGTGTTGCACAAGCATTGCTAATTACTTGTTTTGCGAAAAATATTTTATTAAGACGCGAGTCTTTGACAACTGATCCACGTTGATCATTATCTTCAACCCATTTAAATAGAAATATTAAACCGTGTACTGGTTCCAAATTAGCAAATGATTCCGCATCCAAACTCCAGAGTTCTTCAACTTGTACTCCTTCACAACCAAATTCTCTGATTAATTCAGTAAAAACTCCTGGATCGCTTTCAATTAAGCACCAATTGCCAGCGGACTCACTCATTTTCTTTTAATTGCGTTAATTTTTCTAAAAGTAAACACATATTTTTTTGTTTCATCTTTAAATTTTCTTTAACTAAGACTATTTAACTTTATAAATTTTCGAAACTCAAAAAAAAAAAAAAAAAATTCAAGATTGGATTGATGGAAAAATTAAACGAACATAAACCCCGGGCAAATAATATTTATGTTCAACAAAATTAAGTTCAACTTTTTGGTCAAAGAGGAAATTTGTGCAGTTGTTATCATTTATATTAATCAATTTCTCAAAAAATTTACCAGTTTATTATGTAAATAACTCGTTTAGGTACAATTAAAGAATTGTGCAAGAGAAAGTTTAATTATAGCCTTACTAACAAATCATTTAAATTTTCGAACTAGTAAAAATAAAATAAAATTTAATTTTACGACGAAAAGCAGGCTTGTTAAAGAATTTGGTTTCAGTTTCTTTTTATTAAGAGTTTTTCGAGCTGTTACCATTTAAAATTGCGAAGTAAAAATAAAATTTGCAAATTATTTTATAAAGTTTATTTAACAAAAATTTCTTGAATTAACAGCAAATGGCTGGAACAATACAATGGATGAATAGACCCCAACCAATTTCAATATCCATTTGTATTAAATGATCTTTTATAATACTAAAAGACAATTCAGCATTTGTTACTTGCAAAGCAGTTAAAAACATTGAAGTTTTTTTACAGTCAACCAAGCATGATGATTCGAAGTAATTAGGTTTAGTTTTTAGTCTGCCAGAGTTAATATTTTGTACATTTTTTTTATTAGCAGGTATGCCAACTTCCACATTATGGTGGTCATCAACTTCCATATTATCTCGGTTAGTTGATTTAACATCCAAGTTTCGATATCTTGAACATAACGTTAATGAATCCGATTCGATTACAACGCTTAATTCACCTTCGTTAGTTCCATAGAATGTAATGGATGGTGATAAATTTTTTAATTTATCTACTAAATTTCTTATAAATCGAATACTTGGTAAACCCAAACAAATATTTGGTTTTTGTGTTTGCGGTATATTGTATGATGACCATTCATCACGTGGTATTAAAGTAATTGGAACATCATGAACAATATGCCGATTTTGTATATTATTCGGAGATGGTAGTTCAATTTCAATTGTTAAACAGGGAAACTGTTTATTTGAAAGTTTTATTTTGCATACAGCTGGATTACCACGTAGCAATTGCAATGCTCTAGATAAATTAGCTGGATTGAATGATAAAAAAATCTGATTATTCTTAGCATCTAATCCATCCATTTTATATTCATCAAAATACGCTACGCATTGGATCTCAGTCCATATAAGTGGAGCGACACTAGTTGTTTCCTCATTTATAATGAAATTTACTTTGTCGGATGATATTATCATAACACATTGCTTTGTTAATTTTGATAGAGTCACAATGGTGTTGTAGAATTCTTTCATAATATGGGATTCTTTGATAACAGCTCGAAATAACATTTTGTCGCAAAAGTTACAAATATCCTACGGTGGTGTAGAAAAAAAAATAGGACTTAAGTGTTAGCAAATCTTTTTTTTAATATTGATGAATTCAATGTATGTTATATACATATGTGTAAAGAATAGCCCACATATGAACTTTAGGTTTTTCTTTTAATCTACGAAATTGAATAATACCTAGGTACATAATTTAATAAATTTTATTAAAATAATGATAAACTACTTTAAATAACTTTAAGCATCTACAGAGGCACCTCCGCACCTACAATGTACATATGTATGTATATATTTTAAAAATATTATCTATCATCTTCTATTAACATAACCTATAATAATGTTTCTCATTCCGATAGCCAAGGGGTATCATACTCAGGCGTATGTTTTTAAAATTTGATTTTTGTAATATGTTTAAGATTTTACAAATTTACTAAATTTGAATAATAACTTAATGATTGAATTTATTTTACAAAATGGGCCATTTTTTCGCTTATATTTAGTAAAACTTACCTGATATTAAGTGATCCCTGTATTGAATGTAATTTCGAAAACACAGAAATTTTCTGGAAAATTAATAAGTAATTGTTTTTGTTTTTTTCTGATATTACTACACTTTCTGCAACTATTTTCTTTTTTTTTTTAATTTTCACTTTTAGTGAACAAGCATTAAGCAAGAACAAGGAATCAAGTATAAAATTCGCCAGTTAGAAATATTCTTTAAACAATTAAAATACTAAATTGACTTGTCATTGAAATCACACTTGATGTATCAACTATTGAACAGAAAACCGGCATACTAATTTTCATAGGGGTGGGGAAAAATAGAAAATTTTATTTAAATAGCACGGTGCCGTACTATCTACAGAGTTTTTATGAAATTTCTCTCTTGAAATATTGACAAGATTTATATGGCTTACATTGTTATTTATTTATATCATTATTTGCGTAGCGTTTACGTAATTTATTAGTACATATGCGTAGTTTGCATATGGAACGGCTTTTTTTCGATACATAAGTAAAGAATACCTCCACTTTTTGTACACTCATGACTAATGAACGAAAATGGAACGCAAATTTTATTATGTCAGATAATACTAGGGTCCTATTGCACCAACCACATTTTTTGTCTAGTTGTTAGTTACAACACTATGCTAATGTTAACTTAAAATTTTAGTGTTTTGACTTTAATAAAAAGTCAAACTACCGAACTATGCTAATAAAGTACTTTCATAAAAAGTTAAAAAGTAGAAGTGAAAAATCAGTTGGTGAAATAGGGTACAGATTTACGAAGTATTCCCAGAAAAGATGCTATGAGAAAATAATAACACAAATTTTTCTTTGTTTTTTACCACAGCTGATGGAAAAACTGAAATTTGTCAAGTTTCTTACACAACTTTTGCCTTCCATTGAAATTTCATTCAAAACTTTTCTCCATATCTAATGGATATTTATGTATATAGTTCATTTCTGTTACTACGTATCCTACGTAAAGTAATTATCAATAGACTTTTGTTTCTTAAATTTAACGTTAATATGTTGCTTAATATGTTATGTTATATGTCTATATGTTGTTTAACATTAATATTGGAAATTAAAAAAAAAATGCGGTAGCTTACATATTTTTTAACAATCTCTCAAGTTAAATAATTTCATTATAGATTCTGATCTACAAAAAGAAAGGTGTAAGATTTGAAGAGCTAATTTTAAAAATTTAATAAAAAAAATTGGATATTTACATACATAATTGGGTTTAATGTTTCAGAATATTTGATTGTGAATGACTCTTTTTGATTTGCGGCATTTACAAAGAGAATAATAAAAAAAAAGCAAACCGCTATTTGCTTTTCTTCGTGACAATTAGTCAATTGACAACTTGTTTTCATGAATGTAGTTGTAAATGATGTTGATGTATAAAAGTGAAACACACACCAAGTTGCCTATTTCGTTATATTCCTTTTTGACATTGGACATACTCAATTATTAAAAAATGGTAATTAAGTACTAAGGTACAAAAGTCAACATGAAGTTAATACATTTACTATATTTCAGATTGCAGCGAGGCAATTAGTGCGGAATCTTCAAAGCAATAAAATGGTTGTAGCAAAATCTTTATCAACAGCAAACACTGAAGCGACAATTATTGCTAATGACCATCCCATATGTGGCATACTTACAGTGAACCGTCCCAAAGCCCTTAACGCTTTGAATTTAGATATGGTGAGACAAATTACAAAACATCTAAAAACTTGGGAACGAACAAAAAGTTTGGTCATTGTGAAAGGAGCCGGTGAAAAGAGTTTTTGCGCCGGTGGTGACGTTCGTGCTATTGTTGAAGCTGGTCTTACTGAAGAATCGAAATCATTTTTTCGTGAAGAATATCAAATGAATGCCCTAATAGGATCATATCGCATTCCATATATTGCATTTATCGATGGTATAACAATGGGCGGTGGCGTTGGATTATCAGTTCATGGTAAATATCGTGTTGCAACGGAAAGGACAATGTTTGCTATGCCAGAAACGGCAATCGGGCTATTTCCAGATGTTGGTGGATCATATTTTCTACCACGTCTCCAAGGTAACTTAGGTTTATATCTGGGTTTAACCGGTTATAGATTAAAAGGTGAAGATGTTTTGAGAGCGGGTATAGCAACACATTATTGTGAAAGCTCAAAACTCAATGATTTAGAAAAGGCCTTAACAGACTGCAAAGATATCATCGAAATACCTAATATATTATCTGCATTTTCAACATTGCCAAGTAGAGAATTTGTATTGCAAGAACATTTAGAGAAAATAAATAAACACTTTAGTAAACGAAGTTTAGAAGAAATCTTAAAAAGTTTAGAAAAAGATGGAAGTAAATGGGCGGAATCAACATTAAAGGTAAAAGAAAAAATTAAAATTATTTCAATGTGATAATAATATAAAAAAAAAAATTGCAGACTTTATTAAAAATGTCTCCAACAAGTCTTAAAGTTTCCAAATACCAACTAGAACTTGGAAGTTGTATGTCGCTTCAAGAATGTCTGAAAATGGAATATCGAATGGTAAATAATTTATTTTAATGAATGCATAAGCTTAACAACTACATACATAAATTTAATTTAGGTATTGCGGTTTATGGAAGACAGTGACTTTAAGGAAGGAGTTCGAGCTTTATTAATTGATAAAGATCAAAAGCCGAACTGGAAACCAAATTCTGTTGATGGTGTTACTGAAGATCGTGTTAATTTCTATTTTGCCCCTTTGCCTTTAGAGGAAGAATTACAATTGTAAATATTTTTTATATTAAATTATATGTTTTTTTATTATGTGTATTGTTTTCTCTGTAAGATTATTTATTTTAATTTTAATATTAAAAATATTTTTATTTGCAGTGACATTAACATTTTGAAACATAAACTTTAGTTTAAGTGCAATTTTATTGATGCTTTTGCTGCTACCTCCTCCTTTCAACATAATATAGTCTTTTTTTTTTTAATTTCCAAAATCTTTAGTTTTGTATGAGTTCATTTAGTTTATTTAAACAAATTGTGAATAAAAATCTAATTTTAATTTTTAATAAATTTTAAAAATTTATTTTTAAAATTTTTTTTCTTTTTTTTTTTAGAGATAACATATATGTATGATGATTAGACGACTATTTACTTTTAAATAATAGAAGCGTTTTCATTTTTTAAATTACATAATTGTTTTCGAATATAGTACCTACATTTTATAACTCAAATAATGTAAATAGTAATTAATCCAAAAATAAATTTTTTAGTAAATAAAAATGCAATTTTTCTATCTAGTTGTGCATATATGTAATATATGTGTATGCATTTTTTTAATGTTGCAAAAAATAGAATGATCAGACTTAAAAGTGGAGGTTAAGAGACAATAATATAAAAACAGCAATTTTCCAGCTTGCAATTTATTCTATTCAAATAATAGAAATTTATTTTAGCAAAATAATATCACAAAGTTCTTTAAAATAATTGAATTAAAAGAATACGGAGCAATGATTATTTAATAATAAAAACAAAATATGTGTATCAAGACAAATTTAATAGAAGTCAAACAATAATAAAATTATTTCGCAAAATTTCGAGGGAAACATGACAAATGAGTGGCAAAAATCTTTTCATGTGAGATTCTGATGGTAACCAGGGAAATTAACAAAACGTAAAATGAAACAAAAATCGAACTATCAGTTAGGTTAAGAGGATCCTTCCTTTCAGCAAATAATATTTTTTGGTATCATGCTATTGATTTCAGCTAACTTAATTGTAAATTTGCCATTTTATTCATTAAGAATAGATTGGCAAATTGTTAAAACAACAAAATCATCAAGACTCATTAAGGCTAAACTGAAATTTTTTAGAAGTAATTTTTTATTAAAAAACTTTCAAAGAATTAATGAAATTATTCCATTTTCCACTGCCCTGTTAAGTATCTAATTAGAGCAGTGCAATTTTGTATATAATTTAAATATTATTATTATATAAAATTATTAGAGTAGGTAATATTATAAGAAGACAAAACAACATTTATTTTTTAGTTTTTATATATTTTTAATACTTTTCATTAGATATTTTTAATTTAATAATATTTTAATATTAAAATATCATCATTTTCTTTTGTAAAAATTTTACTCTGCGATTTAATATTCTATTTACAAAATAAAAAAAAATTTATTTTTATAAAATTATTTTATATTATTAAAATATGTATGTATGTATGTATGTATGTATGTAAAATATTCTAGTGAAAAAAAAGCACAATGAAGCGTACAAATAACATTTTTTTTCTTTTTTTTTTTTTTAAATATAATATATTTAAATGACTTAAAACAATTTAAAATAATTGAATTTTCAAGTATTATGAACAAAATCTATGTATACCTACATATGTATTTATAAAAATAATAATGACTTATTTTATAATTTGAAAAATAATATTAGTTTTTTCAATAATCTTCATTTTAATTTACATTTATTAAAGAGGTCATAGAAAAAAAAAGGGATATGAAAAAATTAAAAAATTATGTAATAATGTGATGTTTATTTTCTTTTCTCTAATATAGAAAATCTTTAAAATTTTAAAAATATTAAAGATTATGATTATAAAAATAATTAAAAAATATGTATATAAGTATGTAATAATATTTCAGGGCAAAGTTTAAATAATGAAGGTCAAAAATATAAGTATTTATAAATTTTAAATTATTCTAAAATTTTGAATTTACATTATGTATTTAATATTTATCATAGACTTCATGTTATTCGTAGAACAGAAAATAATTTAAGTATTAAATTATGAATTATCTAATATATAATTATTTAAAAATTATTGAATTAAGAAAATATGGATGTTTCTAAACAAAAAACAAAAAAATGCTTTACATTTTTGTATTATTTGAAATGAAACATTGTGTTTTTAACATGAAAGAATTTATTTTTGTAAAATATCAATAAAAAAAGGATTGAATTGCATTTTGAAATATTTTGTCAGGTCATAATACTTGAAAATTTTTATTACACAAAAAAAAAAAAAAATTATTCTATTATACAATAATTAATATATTAAGTATAATGGTTCTTTAATTACATTCGAATTAATTTTCTTGAAAAAAATATATATTAATATAAATATATATATGTATAATATATGATTTAAAATAATTTATTTAAAATAAATTTTTCTTTAAATAAATTAAATCATATAATTATATTACATATATATTTTTCTTTAATTTTTATTAATTTTTCTCTGAATATATTTCACTTTTACTAATTTAACAAATAAAAAAATTATTCGAGGTATAATAATTTAACTATATTTATATTTTATTTTCTTAAAAAAAAAGTTCTTTTTTTTTTTTCTTTTGCTATACATTTTAATTCCAAATTTTTTTTTTTTTATATAAGTTTTATATTTTGTTAGACATTAATTTAAAATATATATATATACTTTTAAATGCAGTGTTTGTTTTTAACTCTGGGTGAAATGTTCAACAGAAATCACAAAACTTTTTTCATTTCTCTACACATTAATAAAATTGTTAATTAATGTTTAAAATTTTAAATGAAAGTTTTGTTTTCTTTTTCCAAATATTTTCTTTTATATTTTTTGTTTTATTAGATTTTCTTTTTTTTTTTTCTTTTTATATAATTTGTCGATTTCTTTTTTTTTTTTGTTTTATTCGAATATTGTCAGTGCACTTTTTTAAATTTCATTAAATAATTAAAAAAAAATAATATGTGTACGTATGTATGTGTACGTAGAACCTAAGGCAGTTTTTAATTTTAATATAACAGATTTTTGGGTTTCTTTTCGAAATTAAATGAAAAATATTCATCTTAATTAGTATTGTAATTACTGAAGTTATAAAATACATGATTCAATAATATTTTTTCCTATATCAAAACTATATCATCTACTTTTTAAGTTCCTCCCTTTCTGTAAATGATGAAGCTTGTTGCTTGTTAACTGATAATTACTTATTTGCGATTACAAAAGTTTAATGCTTGATCTAAGCAAAGCAACAGTTGTTTGACATTATGTATTATTTTTATTTATTAGAATATTTTAATACATAATTATATTTTTTTTATTAAAATAAAATTTAATTGGAAATTTCATTCAAATATAAGACAATGCTTTACATACGTATTTAATTTTTTTCTTTTCATCTGATACGGAAAATATTCGAAAAAATTACCCAAAAAATAATTTAAAAAATTAGTTTATTTGAAATTTATTAAATAATTTTTTATTTATTTTGCATATAATTAAAATGAAGTAGTTAATTAAAATTATGGCAGTTTTAGCATTTTTATGTTAATTATAATATTATTAATTTTTTTCTATATTTTTATAAAACATATTTTAAATTCTGATCAAGTTTTGTTTTTTTTTTTTTTATATATATTATGCTATTGTTATAATAATATATGTACGAGTATGTATCTCTAATGTTTTATTATATTATTTAAAAAAGAAACTTTAATGCTATAGCATTTTGAAAGCAGTTATAGAGGCAGTATATGGTAAAGACCCAATTATGACCAAACAGTACCATTATTGTATTTCTATTAGAATAAGAAATAATGGAATTTTATTCAATATGAAATTGTTTTATATTTTTATTAAATATTGTAAATGAAGATTTAATATATATATATATAAAATATATATATTATATCTATATATATATATCTATATATATATATATAAATATAATATTTTACTAGTGATAATTGCTGCTACTAAAACTATTTTCCATTTAAAAAATTATTAAAGAATATTAATGAAAATGCTCAATTTTGATTTACATGTTATTTTTAAAAATATAAGTTAAAATTTAAATTTTGAATTAAGTATTAGCAAAATTAGGTTGTATTCTGGATTGCATCTATTATAGCCAGTAACAACTGTAAATTTTTTCAACGATATTTATATTACTTATTTTTTTTATAAATTTATTTTCAAAGCATTTTGTATATTTTCACGATATATTGTGTTATTTTTAGTCAATATTCATTAATTAAAAATAAAAAAAAATAAAAGAAAACCAGAATTCCTTTAATTTTATAACATATAATTTTACAAATTATAAAATTGGAAATTTCAATTACAATATATGTAATAACAATGCGCTGCAGTCAATTCATATGAGCTTTCCATTTTAGCTTTAGTAATAATAATAATAGCGATTTTTTTTAAGGATTAAATGAGTTAAACATAAATTAGGTAAGATTTTTGAATTGTTTAATTAAACATTTCGATTAATGAAAATGAAATGATGAAATGCGATAAAGATTCAGTTTTTTGATTTTTTTTTTTTTTGTAAATGAATTAGGAAAAAAATTTTAAAATTATTAAATATAAAATGGATTAATTTTGAATTTTATGATTAAGCTTAAGTTTTAAATATTTTTTTATTTTTTGTTTACCTTAGTTTCAAAAATTCTATATGAGAATTCGTTTTAGAATGATTCAAGTAAGACTTCTTTAATATTTCTAAATGTTCCAATTATGTTATATATGTATACAATTTGTTTTTTATCTAAATAAATGAAAATCGATCCTCATATAATTAAGTGCACGTACAATTATTAAAATGATTCGAATATTTTTTCTTATTTTATGTGTTTCTAGTATAATTTGATTGGTATTATTTTTTAGAATTTATAGTTTTAATCGAACTTATTTACTTTTACTTTTTGTTTTTTTAAATATATAATTAAAAATTAGTAAAATCTTAATAAATGGCACAAGTTCTTTAAATCAAATATATTATATGTATAATTTTTTTTTTAATTTTCTTATTTTTTTTTTTGCTATGTATTCAATATTATAAAGTAATTTATTGTTTCATTGAATTTTTGTATAATTTTTTTGTAGTATTGATAACATTTACTTATTTATTGTTACATATTTGTAAAATTAACTTAAAAATAAATTACATATTTTGATAAAATTCATTGAAGTTATATTTATTAATTTTAGATTTACATCACGTCTATTTAAAAATTACAATTGTAATAAAAGAATATAAATATTAGACTAAAATTGATTTTTGATGAACCGGAAATTGATTTTTACTTTTGACTACATTCACATATTAATAAAGGATATAAAAGAATTTATTATTATTAACATTTCAAAATATTTTGCATTGAATCAAAATGTTTTTTGAAATGCTATAATAAAAAATTAAAATCTAAAGTATAATACAAAATAACTTTTTACTTCTCTAATTGCTAGAAATTTAAAATTTGTGCGTAATAAATTGTATGGATATGATTTAGTAAATTAAATTCATATTCGTTTAAAGAGGATTTGAAAAGTTATAAAATTCTTTATATACAAACTTTTAATGAAACAAGAAATTACTCAATGAAAAGATAAAATTTAAAAAAATACATTATTGTAATAAATTTTAAAAAATACGTTGTTATATATTTATATGTATGTATGCGTAATATGTATTATATAATATGAATTTATATACTTTACTTTTTAATTTACATACTTATTTTGATTTTTTCATTTTTAGTTAAAATTATAATTTAAATAAAATATAGAAGACCCTCTTAGAGGGCAGTTTCAAAATATCTCCCCTTTTTTTTTTTTGCTAATTTCATACATGTTTTATTTAAAGGGAAAAGCAAAAAAAAAATGTACATAATTAAATTATATATAGCCATATATAGTTATATTGTACATATATATTTTTATATAGCTACCAAAAATTATTTTTATGTTAATTATCTTGGACAAGTAATATAATTAAATTTTAAAATAAATAACTCATCTGGATATGAACTTTATGTAAATTTTTTTTTTTTAACTTGCATTGTTGGCTACTCTACTACACAACTATTATTTTTTTTTCTTCCTTTGATATACTTACCATTTTTTCTCAATTACAATTTTACTTTTATTTGTTTTCAATTAAATGAGTTAGTATGTACATGATTGTTCTGACAATCAAAAATATTTCAATACTATATAATAATATAAAATTTCAAATATGATACTTTAGTTTCTGAACAAAATTCAGATCTTTCAGAATCATAATTTGAATGTTAATTAATTCTTTACAAAGTATAATATACATATGCATGTAAAATAGTTTTTCTAAATTTTGTATTTAATATTACTGCAATAATTGACTGTGTTGTATTTTAATCGGAGGGATCAGCTGTGATTAAATTATTTTCATTTGAAAACTAGCTATAAAAAAAACTCAAATTCACTATAAAAAATTAATAATTTCCTATCAATCAAGATTTTAGGAAATATATTATGAAATTTTTTTATAGTGTTCCATATTATTATTGAGTTTTAGAATATTCGTACATGGTAGGTATTCATACCACATCGACAATTAGTCCTGTAGATTTGGATATTGAACATGTTCCACAATAACCTCCACACAATCCGCGAACAACTTGATATGGTGGTAAGAGCTAAAATAGAAAAGTAGAGATATACAAAAAAAAAAAAATAATAATAAAAAAAAATCCTCACCTTATCTCTTAATTGCATTTTGACATAATATCCATCCGATTCCCATTTTACAGAATCGCTTATTCTAAAGCCAGTATTAGATAAATTGATTGAAAAATGTCCTTTCGGACATTTTAAGTTTTTATTATAGCAATCACCGGCTGTTCCTAAAGGTTGAGCATTACTTTGTATTCTTGCAAATTTATAATCATCTGTAATAATTTGCAGTCGATTCGGGTGATTTAAATTTAATCGAACTTTTTCAAACATTGTACTACCAAAACTAATATTTGAATCAGTAAATTCTTCATTTTCATTATTATTACAACTATTTAGGTTACGTGCACGTTTATCATAATAAACTGAATAATTTTCAACTGAATCGACGGTTATATATTCAGTTGGTCGATGTCCAGCCATATTATGGCAATAAATTTTAACTGTGCGATTCTTGATTGATATATTATATTCACCATCTTTTGTTGTATGCTTTAAACGTTTCACTTCTGCACAAGAACGTGGTTGGGCATTGCATCTTGGTGGTGGTATACACGGTACTTTTGATATAGAATGATATTTATCTGGGCACTGAACATGCTTATTACGAGAATCAAAACAAACAATACGTTTCCTTTTATATCCTTCGCAAAGACACTGTACGAAAAAAAATTCATATATTGGTTTACTAATTCTATTCATCAATTTTAATAAAAACAATTTAATTTAATGAAACTTACGTTTGAATATTTAACTTCGGTTCTTATTTTATTACATTTAGTACAAAGTTTTCGAGTTTCTGGTTTGTTGCGGCGATCGCAATTTTCATTTGGTATTAATCGTTTATCTTTATTTACACAATGTACGGTTTGTCGTGAATATTCCTCTCTACAATCAGGTGTACATTCAGTCCAATCACCTAAAGCTTTCCAATGACATCCAACTTTACACGGTTTTGTAAATCCTCTTGAATTCGGTTTGTTTAACTTCAAACGTTTGCAATAACTTTCATCAATCGGTATTTTTTCTCTTTTTTTAGTTTTCTCATCTAACTTAAAAACTTTTGCACAGTAAAATTCTTTTGTGCGGAAACCATTACCACAATCAGCAGAACACTAAAAATAAATATAAAAATATTTCATCTTTCTGTGACATACCATACATATACATATATATTTGAAACTGGCTTCTGTAACATATAAAATATAATTTGAAAAAATATTTACAGCTGATAATTTTGAAACGTATTTAATATTGCAGCATCTTTTCCTATTTACTGGTTTATCCTTCATTGGACAATTCCTTGGGTATGATGCATTACAATAAACGCTACGGTTACGTTCACACATATTATTACATTCGCTCCATTCTCCAACTTCCCATTTAGCAGGCAATTCTTCATCAGAATTCTAAAATTCAGGGATAATATTTAATACTACTAGTTTATTTTTTAAAACTAAATAAAAAAATTGAGTTGAAGCACAAGCATTAGCATAACACATAAGTGCATGAGAGTATGATAAAAAAAAATACATTCGACATACATAAGTAAAACTTGCACACGTTTACACAGTTAAGTATGTAAATAAATTTAAATTTAATGCACTTACTATGCCGTTAGATAGTTCATAATTTTGCTGGTATGGTGGTTTAATAGTATAGCTAGGACGAAGAGCCTGATTCATATCATAAACATAAGGATTTGTTGGGTGATAAGTATTGTATCTGCTGCGTGTATACTTTAAGAAGAAAAAAATAAATAAATTAATAATATAAAAAAGCATAAATCATGGATGTTCCATAAGTAAAGAAAATTAATTATTTTAGATAAGTTATTCAATAAGCAAAACATCTAGTTAAATTCTTAGGTATAGAATAATATTCATGGATTTTGTTTGATGTGAATTGAATGGTGTTTAATTTTTGCTTCAAACAAAATCCACGGCGTTTACATAATCGTCAAACTATTAATTCAAACAAAATCCATGAACAAAATTTGATATACAGTCATATTTTTATACAACATGTTTAATTTTTCAAAATTACCCAAATATTACAAGACACAATGTTATATTTTTTTATATTTGGAATTGGCACGTATAAAAGATTTAAAAATATGGTATTATTAAATATTTAAATTTGTTTGGAAAATTATATATATGTATGTAAGTAGATTGTAAGTTACATAAGTATCTCTCTGATGCATGTTCATTGTTAATGTCGTGCAATACTTATTTGGAACACATGCAAGGACATTTCTACTATTTAGTTGTATTCATAATTTTGAACTAGTCAAAGTTCAATATTGTTACAACTAAAACTTAAAATAAATATAACTTGTGGAATGCCTAGTATTTATTCATACTTTAATAAAATGTACATAAAATGAGGGAAAAATCATTTTCAACTTTAATTGCAATTCCATAATACTTAAAATTGCAAGTACAACTTCCATTGTAATTAAGCAAATCGGTGCTGATATTTGTAATATGAACAGGTATATTTTTATAACAGGTAAATTGCTAAATCAATCCGAATTTGTGCATATAAAAAAATATAAAAAAGTGCATACATAGCCTACAATTTTTAATTTTTAACTATTGCGAAATAGGTGGGCTACATGTGTACATACTTATTAAATTATTACTTATATAATATACATATGTACATATATCTAATTTTTAACGAAATCGACTAAAAACTACTGCAGGATGAATATAGATTTTGCATGTGTTAACGTACGAGAGCTTGTGATAAAAACTTATTCATTCCGTATTTAATTTTTCTATAGTAGGGGTGTCGTTTATTTTTCATTAAAAAATTTTTTTATCCAAGAACTCGATACACACTTTTTATAAATACTCCCACATTATGGATAAAATTAAATTATATATGATATTAAAATTAGATTTAGGTTTCATAAAATTCTGCTATCTAGTGGAAAAATTAAAAACATTTGTAATTCAAACGAGAACACTTCTTCTTAAACAACCAACCAGAAGTCACTTTATGCTATAAAATTGATGCATGGAAAAAAATGTGTGTACCTATTGCATTATTCTTAGACAAAATTTTTTGAGTGGGTTTGACAAGTATGTGTATTTGAACTATTATTATACCGCATGAGTTAAATTTAATACAATTAAATAATTGTATTAAAAATAGGATCGATGAAAAAATAAATGTACGAAATTCATTTTAAAAATTACAAATTTAGCATCTTAAATCAATAAATACATCAGTAAAATGTTCTAAAGCTTTCCGTGCAATAATTATACGAACCAATTTTATGAAAGTTTTTAAAAACTTTTGCTTTACAAAAATAAAAATTTTATGTGCAAAGAAATGAAAATAAGAAAAAAGTTTTAGTTTAACATTTTCATCTCTTTTAAAATTATACATTACGTAGCTGCCGAAGGTAGATGACGCGAGTGTTTGATTTTGATTTAACTTTTAATATTTACAAACTTATAAAAATTTCCGCCAGATTTCGTGGACGTTCTCCATAATTTTTTTCCATATTTATTTACCTTATTATTGTAGTTTAATATGTATGTATATATAAATACACAAAATTTTTTTTACTTGAGCTTTCCAATTTTTTTTTTGCATATTCTGCGTTTAGAAGAGGAGTGATTGAATAAGTTTTTCAAAGGTGATATCATTTATGAATCATAAGTTGTTGGGGGAACAAACAAATTATTTTTTTTTATATTGGTAGGTTTAAAATCAATTTCAATTTATTTTTGACGTAATAAAATTTGTAAAAAAAAAATATACATATATTTTTTGTTTGTAATTCTATAAAATTATTATTTTAGAATAAAATGGATCAAAACATGGATTTCGGAATTAATCTTGCGCAAGAATCAATGTCAAGTGCACAGAAGCATGAAAAATTTCAACCTGGCTATGGTAGTGATTTAAGAAATGCTACACAAAATTTTTTAGCAGCCGAATTAGGCGGAGGAGGATATCAAATACCAAAAAATGAACCTGAAAGATCAATGCATAATTTAGACAATGCAGAAGAATTTCAATTTGATATGAAATCCGCACAAAATAATCCATTTAGTGACCAACATGCTGATGACGAATTCGAACATGATTCATTGAATTTTTCGCCAGCAACACCAAAATTGACGACTAATGAAAACGAAAATGTAAAATTCATATCTTCAACAGATTTGTTAGACGATTTTGATAAAACTAAAAGTAATATATTAAAACCGGAAGAGGCAGCACAAAAAATTAATCAGCTGGTAAATGATGGTAAAAATGAAATTATTGCAAATTTAGGATCTCCTGTTAACTTAGAGTTTAAAGTTGAGCCTGATAATGTAAAATTAATATCTTCTGAAACGTTATTGGATGATTTTGAAACAAACCAAACAGGTAAACCTACAGTCACTGAAAGACAAGTTAAATTTAACGATTTTACCAGCAAAGATTTTGATATGCCAAAAGAATCACAAACAACCAAACTAGAGTTTAATATTGCACCAACAGAAAACACAAGTTCTTCTTGGTCAGATGATTTAATATTCAGTAAGCCTACCGTTCAAATGCCAATGCCAACAGCACCAGAACCAAAGCAATTTTCAGATTTCGAAGATGATTTCTTAAAAGATATATCAGCTCCAAAAACTAAATCGAATGTTGAATTTGATAATGATAAATTCGTTTCTGCTGAAAATATAGGATTCGATGCTTTCCTGAAAACAAATAAGGAAGATATTAAAGTACCTAAGGCTATTTCAGATACCATTGAAAATATTAAAGAAAGTGTTTCTGATATAACAAAACCATCATCATCAACGTCAGCAATATCTTCAAAAGTTAAAACTGAACTTCCAAAAACCAATATTATGCAAGGCGAGGTTATATTTCATAAACCAAATGCTCCAGGAAAATCAAACTTTAATATACATCCTCTAATTGAATCTATAATTTATTGGCGAGATGTTAAAGTTTCTGGAATTGTTTTTGCTATTGGACTGATTATATTATTAGCACTCACATGTTTTTCAGTTATTAGTGTTATTGCATATACATCATTGATTGCATTAGCTGGAACTGTTGGTTTCCGTATTTACAATTTCGTATTAGGAATGTTAAATGATAAACAAGAAGGACATCCTTTTGAAGAATATTTACAAAGTGATATTGATATATCACAAGAGCGTGCTAAACAAGTTTGTGGTGTAACAGTTGCTAATGTAAATGCTTTTGTTACTGAATTGAAAAAATTATTCTTAGTTGAGGATTATGTTGAATCAGTCAAATTTGGAATTATTTTATGGTTTTTAACATATATTGGTTCATGGTTCAATGGTATGACATTAATTATTTTGGGATATATATTGTTGTTCACATTACCAATTGCTTATGAGCAAAATAAACAAATAATTGACCAAAATATTGAACTTGTCAGAGTAAAAATTTCAGAGATTTCAGATAAAATTCATGCTGCAATACCATTTGGAAAGAATACCACTGGTGAATCTCACAAAAACAAATAAAACGAAATTTGGAAAAAACCAAAATTACTTGATGAAAACAATGATTATTTAATTAATTGTGTCTGTTTTTTTATTTTGATATTTTTCAATTTCTGAGAAGTATTAGACGATTTACTTAAATTATAAATTAGCAATATTATAAAAAAATTTCCTGTTTTTAATTATTATGATTAAGTTATTTCGAATATTTTTTTTTTTGTTAATAATTTGGTTTTCCTGGCTATTTTCATTTAAAAAAAAGCCAAGTTTAAAGCTAAATTTATTTACATTCTAACATTTTATTCCTATTTATTTCTTATGCAATTATTATACAGTTTTTAATGGAATAAAGAAAAAATTTTACATGAAAATGTGAAAGTTAAATGGTGTATTTTTATGAAACAAAAAAAAAAAAAACAAAAAAAAAATTCTAAAATAATCTTTCCATAAAGATAAAGGCACTGGTTTAAGATATTGAAAAATAGAAAATTTTATAAAATCTAAAAACATATCAAATTCCCCGAGCTAAAATACTGAGGCATTAAACAATATTGTCTTCATATGAAAGCAGCTAGACTGGAAGAAATTAAATTCAAGATGTTTTTTATTGTTTTGACTTCATTTCTTTTTAAGTAAAACAGAGAAAATATTCATTTTATGTATATGAACATAAATAAAAATTCTATATTTAGAATGTAATTTGTATTAAAATGGAATTTTCTTTCGAGATTTTAAAAAAAGATGTAAGATATGTAAGCACATAGTATATATATGTATATCTCAAAAGCAAAAACTATTTTTACGACGTAATTTTTGAATAAAATGAATTATAAAACAATGAAAACACTTAAGTACCTACATAGGGTTCATATGTACATATGTATGTATGTACATATATGTTTAAACAATTAAATGTATGAAAATTATCTCAAGGGAATAATTTTAAATAGACCCAAAAGTATGATACACATATAAAATTTGCATTTTAGGAAAATAGGAGGGAAAATTATTTGTATAAAATATCAAGGTTACCGTAAATTTATATCAATAGATCCATTATACTTATATGTATGTATTTTAAGTATTTAATTAAAACCCATAAAATGGGTGCGGTAAGTTATTCATTCAAAGTAATTTAATTAGTTATAAGAAATTGATTTTGTTTTACATTTTTCAAAAATAAGGTTTAATCATTCATAGGTAACCGCTGAAAAACACTTTTTTGCCCTTTTTTTTACAATTTTAAATTATACAACTAAACAACTATGTATATACAACTGAATGTACTATATTTAAATTTTTAAACCAAAACGTTTATGTATTAGGACATCTATGAATAAAAAATTGGATATGAAAAAGTTTTCGGCATCCGCCAAATTTGTATTCATACACCCGTAGCTGATAAAATTTTTTAATAAAATTGATATACATATATTCTTGTTCGCGTTAAGAAACTAATTGTAAAATCTTCATCATTTAATTTATTGTTAGTAAAAGCTTTTTTGATAACATGCTGATATTTTTACATATATATATGATAGCAATTACTAACAAAAAAACTTTTAATATTCACGCACTAAGGAAAGTCTGGCATTTTAAAGATCAATAATATCGCTCGCAGTTGTACTCAAGCTTTGTTGGTTGTTAATATCATTAATAAATTTTATTACAAAAATATTCGAAAAAAACATGCATTAGCCAAAATTTTAAATGATAAATAACACGAATGATATAGGTTCATTACTTCAAATTAAATAATAGTATTTATATATATTGAAATAATAAGCTTAAAATTGAAAATATTGCAAACCAGAATGATTCAAAATAATTTTATTTTGTTTATATTATTGAAAATTTCCAATAAGTTTTATAGAGATAAGTAATATTTTATTAAATGGGCATAGCATTTTTTAAGCGATTATTTCAGAAGAGTGATTAAAAAAAAATAATACTTATTATTCTAAGATAACAATAAGAAAATCACAATGATTAAATATTTAAGAAAAAAGAGGTTATTGACCACATACATAAATAAAATTTGATAAAATTAACATAATATTAAAAATGTAAATAAATTTATTATACGTCATGCTCAACCTAAAAGAAATTCGTATGGTATGCAACTTTTGTATACTAGTGCGTCAATAATTTGATTTAAATATAATTTTGAAATATTGGAACGCGTGCAATTACAATATAGGTACCGTCCGAATAAAAATAAATTAGAAAAATTTGTTATAAATTAGTTTAATTAATAAATTGTTTTTGATTAATTAGTAAATTTTTGCAATCTATTTTACATATAAAAATATACAGTTTTGTAATAGTTCAAAAAAACAGTTGAAATAAGCCAGATATTTTTAGTAAGCTTTAATATAATTATATCATGTTAAAATATTGAAGGAAAAAAATGCCCAAATTAATGTTAATTACAATTATAAAATATGTTATAAAATGAAGAGTATAAGTACCAATTTAATAATTCAATTAAATTAAATCTTACCCAACAAAAAAAAAATAATAATAATAAACTAACACCATATATTTATAATACATGCGATTGAATCTTATAATGTACATAGATAAAAATTTAGAATATTTTCGGTATTATCTTAAATTATTATATATTTTTGAAAAATCTAGTGCACACATGCATTCTACAATACATAACATAAAAATTAATAATAAATATACAAACAAAATAATAATGAAAAATAGAAATAGATGTATAAAAAAATTAGTTCATGAAATAAAGATAGAAAAAAAAATATTCAATATTTGACAAAACTAAAATATTAGGTAATTTTTTCTTTTTATGTTTGTTAATATTTTGTGTAGAATGCGTGTAATTTATAAAATAATATAAAAAAACTTTTTTTTACTATGTAAAATATATTTACAATAAAAAAATTTTGTTAAAAATGTGCTATTTATAAAACTAACCTGATTTATAGCAGTAGATCTAGGTGTAGTTGTGGTAGTAGTGGTAGTAGTGGTAGTAGTAGTAGTGGTAGTTGGACATGGTGGCATTGTACAATTTACAATTATTATTGATGGCTTTGGTACATCAGAACATAAATGATTATCTACAAGTTTATTATTTTGCATACAAACATGATCAATTGTTTGTTGACCAATACCACATGTTACAGAGCACTGAACACCAAAATAAATTTTTTATTTATTGGTTATATGAGAAGCATTTTTTAATTAATAAAATTGTAATTATAACATAAAAAAAAAATAAAATAAAAAAACGAAAAAAAAATTATATTACAAAACCAAAAAGAAAAAAAAATTAAAAATTCCAAATTCCAAAAAAAAAATTATATAAAACAAATTTGGATTTCCTCTAAATTAAGAAATAAAAAAAAAAAATAAATCAAAAAACCCAAAAATTTTTGTCATCAAATTTCGATTGTAAATTATTTTTTCTTATACAATTTTGAATTTCAAGAAGCAAGAAATTTTGTATTTACATTATTTTGTATTTATGTTTTGTGAAGGCGTTATATGCAAATTACATACATATGCATATATACAATATGCAATTTTATATTATTACTTAATTTTTTTTTAATTAAACTTACCGCCTGATGTGGTGCTTCATCTCTTATCCATTCTGGGCATTGTTCAGTATTGCAAATTTGTGATAATTCATGATAATGTTGACGTTTTACTGGATTACATTGTGATTCATCAACTTGAATACCGTTAGAAATACAAATAACTTGACGAGTTCTTTGACCAGTTCCACAAGATCTAGAACACTAAAATATAAATGTTATTTTTTTTTATTAATTACATATATTAGAAAGTTTTTAAATTTTAAATTACAAAAACTTAATTCAATATCAAAAATTTCAGATGTAGAATTCTTACCTCGGACCATTCAGTATAACTCCAACACGCTTCACTACATTTTTCATACTTTTGCATTGGTAACTGATGGCAATATGATAAATCTTGTATAACAGAACTACCATTATGAAATTTTTGTATGCATGTATAGTATTTTTCCCGATTACCAATTTGTCCACAAGTAGCGCTACATTCTGAGACACTGGTAACATTCGCCCTAAAGAAAGTACATACTTAGTAATATGATATATAATTGGGAATTATTCAAAGAATATGTAGGACCGCAAGTAAAAAATTCTTTTTTTTTTTGTACAATTGGTTTTTGTTTTTTTAATATAATTGTTATAATATGCATATTATTCATTGAAATTAAGTTTTTCAGATGGCCTTGGTTTAGAATTTCCAAAAAAAAATTTCGTTGAATTTGCATAAAATTAATTTGTAAGTTAAATATTCTATGTATATATGCATTAACTTTTTATAAAAAATAATTAATACACAAAAATTTTATTTAAAGAGACCATACCAAACTCTTAAGTCTAAAACTCTAAACCATATTTATCTTGAATACATATATAATATTTTGATTTTTTTGGAAACGGGAATTATTTTTATTCATCAGTCGGTGACACATTATTTTTCAAACATATGAAAGTAAATATATAAAAAATAATCATCGCCTCTTATGCTTGCATGTTTATATATTATTTCCAGTTTAAGAAATATAACAGGTTGAGAACAGCATATTGATAATTTGAATTTAAGGTTTTAGAAATTTTGTTGAAAAATTAGAACTCCAAATGCTCAAGCTCGTTTTTTTTTCTATCGATATGCAATAAAAAAGCTTTTGGTATACGGAAAATGTTCGCAACATAAACTTGATGAAATTGCCTAAGTTTAGGCGAAAAACTTTTATTAAATTTTATTTTTGCTTTTCAATTTTTTAATACATGAAAGCTTATGCAACGCAACAGAATATACTACAGAATATTATATAATTGCATATATATAGGTAGTACAATTTTCTATTTATATAATATTTTTTATTTTTTCATTAAAAAAATATTTTCATACATATTTGAATTTATTTAAAATATAAATATACTTACATTAACGTGCAATGATCATTACAACTGCTTGTTAATTCTGTATTTGATGGTTTTGAATTTGGATCACAATTTGTTGATGCAACTTTTAATCCAGCATTAACTTGTACACAAACAAATGATCTTTTACGTTGTCCTTCGCATATTGAATCACATGGTGTCCATTGATCTGTTTCCCATTTATAGATCTCGACTTTTTGTGCATGTGGATATGCATGTGGTCTTATATTTGGATAATTATTATTAATGTTATTATTATCATCTTCATTTTCATTTTGATGTCGTTGTTGATGATTACGATGTGAATCATAATGATGTTGATTATATTGATTTTCATGATGAATCTGATGATGGTTATAATCATCATAATCATCATCAATTGATGTTATATATGGTCTTGCAATTGTATATGAATACGTTAATAGTAATTCATTAGTACTACCATTTTCATTAGGCATTACAATTAACTATAAATGAAAGATACAAAAGTATAAGTGTTGCGTATTCCGATATTTTATGATATGGATGTGGATATAATTTAAGTTATTGTTTTATGAAATGAAAAAATTGAATGTCAATATTAATTTAAAAAAAGTGCTTTAATTTTCAGATGTTTACAGTAAAACCATAACAAATAAACTAATAATAAGGTGACCGTTTTGAAAAGTAAGAAAAATATTTTTAATATTAAAACTAAATTAAAATGCATATAAATATTTATTATCCCCTCAAAACCTGATTCTAGCCGCACATTTGTGACACATAAGGTTTAGCAATTTAATCGCTGTTATGTTAAAATCGTTAAACAATTGCGGGAAAACTATAAAATTGAACTAAAAAATTAGGAATTGAGTATAGATGAGGTCTTTATGTACACATTATAAATTTAATACTGACGTTACCAGTTGCCCGTATATTTTTTGTCAATCAAACTTTTCTTTTTGGTGTAGCTTATATTGTTTATCATATACGTATACTTACATTTATGACAAGATCTCGTTTCAATTTCCTTGAATATGTTGTATTGACACGTTCAGTTTGGTTATTTGCACCACTATATTCAAAATTAACACCACCATATGGAAAATTAAATTTATAGATGCTAATCACATTGTTTCCATTCAATAAAAATTTTTGGTTGTCATCTAATAATACTATAGAAAATATATTGAATGATGAATAAAGAAATATAAATATTTAAATTATTTTAAAACATATTATAAGCAAATAATGTAATATAAACTAATAAAGAAGTCAAAATAGAAATATGAACAAATACAATATATTATATACATATATGTATATACAATGTTATATGTGTGAAGATACAGATAAATTTTTATTTATAGTAATAAAATAAATTATAAGTGTTACACACTTATATAAAGTAAAGTTTATGAACTCATCAAGAAAATGACAGGAACTTAAACAACTTAATTATACAGGGTGTTAAAAATAATATTATATATTTAGTAAATTTGAGAAAAATTTAGTAATTTTAATGAATTTTATGTAATTATGCAAGTTCAGTTTGAATCTTATAATATATTTTAAGCGGGTTGTGTTTTAAGCTGGATCAGAACAAACGTTTCAACTTCACTGCCTTATATTTTGTATAGTTTATCAGATTCACTGAATATTTCTTTTTCCTGTACAGTATGAAAGTGTGCGCGCATACGAGAATTAACTGTTATTCTCGTAGCTTTTTCTTTCAAAATTTTAATACAACTTAATTCTAAAAGTTACAGCAAAAGTCGTCGAGTTTTGATTAAGCAAGGTGTATGCAATTACAAAATGTAATAAGAGAAAATTTCAGTCAAAAAATTTTCAAGTTTTCCTACAAAGTTTTTTACAATTTTTTATTTGTTTTAAGAAAATATGCTTCTTGGAAAACCATTGGTCTGATTCTAATAATCTTTGAGCGAAAGCAAGAAACTTTATGAAATTTAAATGTATTAATCGAAATTTGATTACCATTTAAAAAAAAATTTTATGTGTACTCGTATAAACTCAAAAAAGTATCTTATTTCACTATTAACTGGATAAGATTACAAAACTTTGATTCATATCACACCCTGTATACGCATAATAATTCTATTTCGATTAATTTTGACATCATCAAATTAAAATTGGAGAATTGAAGAAATTTTTAAATTTCGAGAATATTTGGATGGCAATATTTCATAAGAATATAATATGGAGATTTAAATAATTTGTTTTACTAATGATAACAAAAAAAAAATATTTATATTTTTCTATGTAAATCTTAAAGATTTTTAACAAGGTTGAAAGAATTAAACCATTTATTAAGTAAATATAGATTATATGTGTCCATGTTTAGAATGTTATATATATTGAATATAGAAAATTTCATGTTTATATTCTGCCTGTTTTAGAAATTTTCAATTCTTACATAATATCTAAGAATATTATTAATGAAATCAAGGCGGTTGTATTGTACATAGTGTGAAAAGATTTTTAAAAATAGCTCTAATTTATTAAATGGTTTCCTTTCCTTAAATTTAAAAGTAAACTAAAATGTGTGTAATGATAAAATCAGTTAATTAAGGGATCTAAACTCAAATGGAAGTTATTGTGTTTACTAGACTCGATAAAAAAAGTTAATTACTCAATGATTTTCTCAATTAAATATAAAAATTTAGCACCATATATATATATATGTGTATGTAGAAATATACAAGTAATGTAATAATATTTAAATTGCTAATAATACCATTATGTTATATTTGTTGATTATTTCCAAATGAAAATTACAGCCTTCATGATCAGAGCTTCTTTTAATAATAGATAAGCCTGATCATAAACACTGCAATTCTCAAATGCAATTATATTCTTTCCCAAAAGAAAAACGAAAAACGAATAAAAAAAAACTCCAAAAACCAACCAAAAATAGTTTAATAAATTAAATCAAAAAATTTTCATATAAATTAATTATGTATATACCAATATATGTTAATTTTCCGGGGCTTCCTTCAATTATTTCAATATTTGAAGCACCTCTTGGTATAACATCAACATAATAATAAAATGTTGAACCATTGTGTGATCTCTGATTCGATAATAACTGATATCTATAGAATTTTCGTACAACTTCAGTGCATGTATCATTTTTACCATTACATACACCACAACGATCCAATTTTGCTGATGAATTTAATACATTATCACATGCAGCTGGCTGACATACACCATTAACACATTTATCGAAACTTTCATATGAACATGTTGTACCATCAATAACTTTATCAGCCAATTGAAAATAATTTGGTTCACCTTCAGCTCGGCAATATAATTTACATTCATCACGTTTTGCAACTACAAATAACAAAGAATGAATTTATGATTGTTGTGTATTGAATTAAATTTATTTAAATTTATTTCTTCAATACATAAATTAAAATTAATTTAATTATTTACCTCCATATTTTGCTATCCATCGTACATTCTTAGGTAAGCCTCTTATTTCAAAATTATTATGATTAAAATCAGCACATTGTTTTTCTCGGAAATCCATATCAGTTTCGGGACATTCCATTGTATTACATGATCTATATTGACGTTTTGAACCAATACAATATTTACCACCATTCTTTGGTATCGGATTATTACATTCACGATGTGATTCTTGTACACCGCCACCACATGAACGACTACATTCAGACCATTCACTCCATGAACTCCAACCACCATCTCTTGGTACCTGTTTACTATTCTTTGATACGCATTCACCTTTTTGACACCAATAATGTGATTTTGAAAAATGATTAACATTTCTACCATCACATGGTGTACCATCTGCCCATGGTCCATTCGATTTACATGTATTTTCATCATATTCGGTACAAAATTGTTGACGACAATCTTGCTGTTAGTTATACAAGAAAAATGAACAGAAAAAAAAATAAAAAAATTATGATATTAATTTGAATGGGGATAAAATAAAAACAAATAATTACCGTTATTGAAGTACATAAAGATGCATGTGGACCTAATGTTAATTTACATTGCTCATCTAATGAATATTTTTCACCTGGTAAACGTTTATTAGAGGCAACAATTTCATTTCTCGCTGATGTTTTCATACACGACACATCTTCTTTTCTAATAGATTTAAGAAAATGAAAATATATGAGGTTTTTATTAAAATTTTGTTTTTTTTTTCTGGTATTTACTCTAAAAATTCATCGATAAATCCTCTTGAGCAGTCTGACCAAGTCCATGGATGTATGTGTGCTGCCATTGTACTTGACATAATATTCATTTGTGGAGGTATACCAATATTATACTTATGACATTTCTTTTTATCATCATCGTGTGGTGCACTGAAACTATAAAGGAAAAAAAAAAATATTAAATAAAGAAAGCTAATTAGGAAATTATGTCAGTTTTCATACAAAATTTTGATCCTGAATTATGTAAACATAAGGAAATTATAAGGAATGACTGAAACAATCATTTTTTTATATATTGAAATTTCTAATAAATTTTTTTCCAAAATCTTTAATTTTTAATTGATTTATAAACGATGTTTAGGGGTGAATTCATAAAAAAAGACATTTAAATAAATATTATTTTAAAATTTCCGAAAATACCCGAATCAACTTCGTTGATATCGAATCAAATTATTATTAAAATTCAAAGCTACTGGTGGTTTTTACAAGTCAACTGCTGACTATAAAAATTTAAAATTATTTATTTATGGTCTGTTAAATTCCGGAAAAATTTTTTACTTATAAACTTTGTGTATTACACTTAAAATAATAAAATTAGAATATGTAACTGATAATTGCTTCCTGGGTAATTTTATCGATTCGGGAAGTATAAATAAATCGATACAAATCGATTATTTTTCATTTTTGTATATTATTTTGGTACTATACACGAACCAACAATCATTCTTTTATATGTAAGTATATAATTGTTATACAGAGATTTTATTATCTTAACATTATTCGAATATGAAAATTATTTCAAGAATTAATTATCCTTGACATACCTATAAATAATATTTTTTTTTTATTCTTATTTTTTTGATATTTTTATTATTTAGCACCTGTTTTGTCACTTTAATAGTTTTTAATTACCATAAAATTGTTGAAAATGGAAGTGACCAAAGTCAAATTTTAATTTAACATTTTAATTACAATATCTTCGGGTATCTTATGTACATAATATAATTATACATATGTATATATGGATACACATGGAAAAGTATATAAATGCTATTGTTATTGCAAAAGATAAAGATAAAAACGGTTATTGCACATTATATTTAACGGTTTGAAACAAAATCTTGTATTGTTTTTTTTTATGTTTTGTCTTTAACTTGTAAACAAGCCTTTATAAAAATAAAATTTTAAATATTATTTATTATTTTATTTAAGATTTAAATATAAAAAATAACGAATATTTTGTAACTGAATTTCCCGTCAATAATTTTTCCGAAACGGAAATTTAAAACCCTATAAGGTTTAAAAAAAATAAATATATTATTTTTTTTTTTTTAAATAAAATCAACATTAACTATTAAAATTAATAAAATTGAAAAAAAAAAAAATAATAAAATTTTGTTTTATAGCTTTTGGCCAAAAATTAATCGCGCAGCTAGAGAAACAAAAGATTTTTAATTGTGTGTCTGATTGTTGAACAAAAATATGATATTAAAGCCGTTTGTATTGTTTAACATGTCATAAATATTGTAAAGCTGAATGAATTTACAAAAATTTGTTTATATTTTTTTTATTTTGTTTTTATTAATTACAGAGTGTTATTGACAAACACAATTTTCTGTATATTATCGATTTGCAGGGGTGAATTAAAATTTTCTTAAATTTTTGTTACGTAACTTTCTCTGTTCGTCTGTCCCACCGGCAACTAACAAAAAAATACATTGAGCTAAACTAAATAAATTTTAGGTAAATATAAAGCATAGAATTACTAAAACTTGCAAAGCGCAACTAATTCGACAAAATTTGGTTAGGAGTATATAAGTTTTTAAAATAGTTTCAAAACTACTTTGGCTATATATATATATAGGAAAAAGAGTATACAAAAGTTTGCAATGTTTGAGTTTTTGATAAATGAGTTTGCTATAGTAGGTCCTAGTCGCGCAAGAGTACTTGGTTTAGCTAATAAACAACTCCAGAAACAATTTATATTTAAATCAAAAATTTCAAAAACTAAAACAAGTTCGATAACACGGTTAGAACATTTTACTTTAGGAAGTATATAAAAAACACTCGCACTGATATCGTAAAATTGTCATGATTAACTACATTTTTTTTCCGTTTATTACAATTTATGCAGAACATAACAAAGAAAGAATGACAAATAAAAAGTCTATGGTTGAAAAGTATAAAATTTATATAAAATTAGTCAAACATACTACCAACTCCCAAGTTTATTAAAAAAGTATTGAAAGTTTCGTCGAAATTTCTTCATTAACCATATTAAAAGGCCAAGAACACGTCTAAACTTATCAAAGACATAAATTTTGACATATTGCATGTAATTTTGACATATTGGTCAATATAGACGAGTGGCATGTTAGATTAGCTGATACAAATGTTTCAATGACTTTAGTACAAGTGAAATGCGAAACGTGTCTTGATTCTTTATATAAAATGACAATTCAAAACTTAACGAATTTTTCTTCTTACGCATTTATTTTGGTAGAATTTCGGGCATGTCCCGAAGTGCTCCATTTTGACCTAAGTTAACGTAGTCTTAACAAAATTTTGAAGTTATCAATGCTTGGGCCATATTAGCTTGAATACGACTCTGGACAAGTATATGGGTATATAGAATATACGTAATAAACGTTTTTATATAATAATATTTTAACATTAACAAGAAAAATAAAAAAAAAACACAAAAAGAAAATGAAACAAAAAGTAAAAAAAAAAAGAATACAATCTATTAAAATATAAGATTCAATGGGCCCATTATAAAGATAACTTTATATGCACCTACATGTGTGTATATATATCTAGTAACATTTATATTATTGCATGTACATTTATAGAGTGAATTGAAATCTCTTATTACATTACAATCATCAGTATATAGAAATTCATAAATGGCACATAATTTAATTTGACCATAAAATTTTATAGATTTATTATTCAATCCCGATGCCAATCACTCTTTAGATGAAATTTTTTTTGTTTTTATTATTTATCCCATTGTTTTCTGTTGCAATATATAGTGATTTAGTGAATTTTAATAGTTTAAAGCTTAAGTTTAAATTTAGGTAAATTTTAAATAATTTAATTTTATTCATAGTACCACAGTACGCATATATAAACAACAGTACGATTGTATAATATTATTTATTTTTTTTTTAATTTTTGAAATGGGCAGGTACGCAAATACACGTGTGCACATAATTTATCCGGATGAATCGATACGTGGACAATAGTTTTGTGCTAGACCATGTTTATATATGTATTTTGATATAATACATATTTTTTATGTGTATGTAAGCTCGTTTAGGGTATTTTTGTCGGTTTGATTTTTATTATAACATTTTGACTGTTTAACAATAATGAAAAAAATAAAAAAAATAAGATTGTAAATTTAAAATACAATAGGTAATTCATTGTTTGTTCATAAATGTACATTTACATATGCAAGTACATATGTATTTTATGTATATACACATGTAATGTATAATAATGGATATATCAGTTTTTAAAGGTCAGGTGAATACAATAATAATAATAATAATAATCTCAATGAGTGTACAAATAAAGATGTAAGCTTCATGTAAGCTATCAATGATCAAATTTTTATTACGATTTTGTAAAAAAAAAAAATTTTTAATTTTCTTTAAAATGGATAAATGTCAAATTTGAATTAAGTTGTAATTTATACCCGTGTATTTTATTTTTTACAAATTATTTATTACAAAATTGGCCTATATTTTCTTTCAATTTTCATAATACTGCAGTCACATTCAAGTTGAAAATTTTTATACGCTATATGCTTATGACTTTAACATAAATACATACATACACATGTAATGTGTCATTTTTTTAAAATTAAATATTAATGTTTTATGAAATTTTAATCCTCTGACCTTATACGTACATTGTATGCATGTGTGTATGTACAAGTTAGGTGCGTGATAATTGCAATATTTGATCATGTATTTTGGTTTTTTTTTTATTTTAAAAAATTAAAATTATTTTAAGATTTATTGTTTAAATTTACCATAAAATTTTTTAAAATGAATTGTAATCCAGCTAGGGAATAAACTAAAATATCATAATTTGAAAGATATTTAATGTGGGTATACACACTTTTATATTTTGATTTGCCTTAAAATTTATTCAAAAACTTGTAATGGAAATCAAATTACTATATGAATAAGAAATACGTAAGTAGATAGTTTATTTTTTAATTAATATCAGGTTTGAGAAATAACAAATCGATATGTTGATAATGAAAGATCGAACAATGAAAATGAGAGATCGACTTGACTATGATAGTTTGCAAGTTTATTTTTTAAAGATGCTACACATCCTCCTACAATTATATATGGTTTTTCTAAAAATATTGTGATATTCAATATATTTAATATTTTATCCTATTTCGTTCGTGGGAGGAGCATAGGGCTATCGTAGAACTATATGAACCAGATTCTTGCATCATGAAATTAACTTGGTAGGTGATGAGCCTGACGTAGTTTTTTTTTATATTAAATATTTAAGGTTATTGATATTTTCTGACCGGGTTCAAAACCCGAGACACTTCAGTTAAAGGACCGGTGCTATAACCACTGCACCATTGGTAGCGTAATATATTAAATAAAATAGCATTTTTAAAAGCTAACATTTTTGGACTTGACCTTTTTAGAACTTTTCCGAAACTTTAAAAAAACAAAACGGCTGTTAAAATGTTCCGTAAAACCCGTTTTGTCTAAATTTTTGATGCAGTTTTTCTTTTACATCGTACGTTACAGGAGTCGTCAAATTTTAGCAGCTCTTAGTTATTCATAAATAGTTTATTTCGTTGGAAGAAAATTTTTTCCAATCTCCACCCCCTATCAAGTTATCACCTATCGGAAATATTTGGCACCTTTCGAAATTTCTATAAACGCTGAAAGCAAACGGTAAATTCCATGATATTAAAAAATATAATTATTTTTATGGTTTATTTCAAATCGTTCATCCTAAATTTATGCAATCCTAGAAATAGTTTCGTATATAAATAAAATAATTTTAATAGGTAATTTTAATACATATTATATTGTTTTTAACAGCAGTGTTTTCACTTGGTGAAGGGAAAAGTGTTACAATACAAACCAATGGTTTGACCCAACTTTTTTCATGTTTCAATAAATTATAAAATTTTTTTTAACGTATCTAGGTTTTTAAAGAATATACGAGTATAAAATTTTGAGTTTTTTGTGATGTTATACATATAGATGTAATTAAGTTATAGACTAACAACATCATTTTCTGTTATTGTGGTGTTGCAAAATGTTAACTATACATATAATAATATTATAATATACAGTTAATTTTGTTATTTTGGTAAAACAGGATGTTGTTAGCATTAACTGTTTTCAAACACAATTTATTATTGGTATATACCAAATGTATACAGCAAGAGTTACAAATTATAATTTTTAAATATATGACACTTACTGCTTATAATCGTATGGCCGGGAGGTAATTGTTACATCAATTGAGAATTTAGTACTGGGTAAGAATATACACATATATACTTTATGTTTTCTTCTTGATGCCAATAATAATATACTATAGCCAGGTTTAACAAAGCGTCACTTAGGTGTGAAATTAATAGAATAAATGCATCTTATAGAATTAGATTGTATGAAATAATATCTTCATCTAACATTTTTAATTTAAAAACTAAAATATTGTTAAATGATTCAAAATCAATATCTTTGTGCTTATGTTATTTGCCATGAAACCAAATTTGTAAATAATTTTTCCAAAATTATATTCCAAAAAAAATTTTACTCTAAAAAATATAAAATAATTGACAGTATTGACAGATTTACTTATGTAAATAAATTGATATTTCTCTAATTTTACAGCAATTATTTTTGAATATAATTAATCAAAATAACAAATTAAGTCAATGTTAATAGTTCTCACTCAAACTAAGTGAGATCGGTTAATAATAACAATGATTTATTTTTATTTAAATTATATGCTGAGTCAATTATAGAAAAATAAATTTGTCTAGATTCAATATTCTTAAATCGGGTATAGAGAATAGAATTTAATTTGCAATAATTATGTATGTTATTCTAGAAAAACAAAAAAATAACAAAAGAACCGAACATTTTTTTTTAAAATATTCAATTAAATGTTCTTTAATTGAATTTAAGAATATTTCCTTGAATATATGATTTTCTTATAACATATCGCATATTTTGCTCAAAAATATTTTTTTGGTGCCTCAAGGAGATTTTATTTGAAAAATTAATATTTAATTAATATTAATCTATGCTCATGGCTGTTAAGTCCTCCAAAATTACAAAGAAAAAGAAAAAAATTAGAAAAATGAAAGACAGCTATATAAGAAAACACATGTTAATTTAAAAAAACTAAAGTAATTAATCAAGACTTCGAAAACTGAGAAAAAAAAAAATTTCGTTTTCTTATTCTTTTATTAAAATAAATTACTTGTAACATTTTAATCTATTTCATAAGAAGTTTTAATTTTAATTTTGAAAATTCTTGATTTTTTTGGCGTTTTTAACATTTGGCACTTAATTTTTAATGCCCCTTCGATCATTATACAAGAATTTAAGAAAAAAGAAAATCATTTTTAGGAAAATTATGATGACCTTTACGATTTCATTTGTTTTTGTTCAATGAGGTCTTGTACAATATATCCTAAATTTGCAAGTTGAAAACGAAACAAAAGCGTATAGAAAATTGCACCAGTTACACGAGCATTTCAAATATTATTTGCTATATTAAATTCTCATTTAATTTCTTTGAAGACGTGACAGCGGTGTAATATTCATTTAATTTCTTTGATACAGCGGTGTAAAGTTTCATCTTTACTTTCTAATTCACACAAAATTGCTGACTTAACATCTGCAACTTGTTTTAACTGGAAATTATTACTCCCATCAAAATTCTGAGTATATGTCTACAAATTGCACAAGGCCGGAAAAGCAACGAATTCAAATTAGTATAAATACTGTTAGATTTTAAGTAATAAGTTAAGTCTTAATTTCGTGTTAATAAATGTAGCAATTAATTGAATCATTCGAATTCTAAATTGTAATTTTATTAATAATGTTAATGAAGTAATGAGATTCAATAACTTACATTATAGGAGTTATTACTCTCGCCAAGTAAGAGGAAGATAAATAACTATCATAGGTATCTTCAGTGAGAAGAATTAATTCCGAAGAAGAAGAATTTTTGAGAAGAATCTTGTTTTTTTAATTAATTTAATTACTTGGCTTCTGAAGAAAGGGTTCAGTCGAAATTTGAGAAAAAATGCAAAAATCCAATTGAAAAACTGAGTAATCTTATTGGAAAGATTTGAAGGTGAGATGAAAATGGTTGTGAAAGCTTAGGGCTGTTAAGCTAAAGAGCAACTTTTTTTTCGGAAAATGTGAAATTATACTTTGAAAATCAAAAAGTTTGGGAAGAATTTGCAATTACATTTAGAATCATTTTCTGTTAGCAATTTCAATTTAAATTAGAATAATTTTCTGTTAGCAAATATTTTGGAATGGTTGAAGAAAGCCTGAGCAAATATTTATTCAAAAATGAATTGTGGCAATTATTTAAGACCTAGAATACACATGTAATTTTTAGTTCTTTAATTTCTTACCAGCAGATAGGAATTTTAGTTGATATAGTTAATACTTTAGTTACTTATACAATATGCACTTGAAATTAATTTACAATTAAAAAATAATTGTTAAATTAAAAAAATGCATTTATGCCTGTATTTGGGGATGCAAAATATGTTGTATGATTCTAATTTAAACAACTTACAAGTTTGATTTTATACCTTACGAGTTTGATTGTTTTTCTCTGTTTACAATTCCAATACAATACTTGTATGAGACGGGAATTTTAATCAACTCGTTGGTTCGAAATTAATTATATTACAATTATAACTTTTATATGACACGTTCAATAAAGATATTTAAATAATGGGTATGAGAGCAGGAAATTTTAATTTTGTTAAATAATGGAATAAAAATAATAATAACCTTTTTGTCCAAAAATATTTTGGATCTTTTAATTTCAATCAATTTTATCAAAAATCTTTTGACAATAGATGACCAACCTTCAAATTTTCTATTTTTATAATTATTGTTTAGTAAAAGGTAGATAATACAATTGACAAAATAATGACATTTTAACTGAAGTTCGATTGTTAATTTGAACACAATTTTTTTGTTCTGTTCTCAAGTTTTATAAAGAATGACAAAATATTATTTATTTTATTCAAAATATTAACATTATTTTATTATTCAACTGATGTTCAAACAAATTATTTTTAAATAATATTTATTAAAATAATATTAAATTGAGGTGTGAATTATTACAAACGCTATGAGAATATTAATTTTTTTTTTATTTTTTTTTTGGTAAAATGGACAAAATTATTTTTTAATGAAATCATTAATATTGTTTTAATATAACAAAAAATAAAAAATTAAGAAAACGCACTAAGAAATATCGGAGCCATACAAAACTATGCGCTATTTGGATTATGAAGAATAATATGTAAGATGAGCTATAATAACTTTCAAAACTATCAAGTTTGAAATTCCGAATAACCTCAGATATTCATAGTAGCTATTTCTTTGAAAAAAATTTCTCAACGAATGACACAAATTTATAGTTTTAAGAATTTTTAAGTTGTTGAGCCGTTAAACGAACGCAAGAACGCAATTAGGTATTTATGCGAAATATGGCGCTATTTACTCGAAAGTTGCCTGATATTTGAGCAATATTACCCAACTATGATGGACATCCTCTATGAAAGATTACTATGAGAGCTTTAATATTCAAAATTCACAAATATGATAATATATTATACCGTTTAGTTCGAGAACTGTTTTTAATAATGACTCGTATAAAGTTTCCGGTTTCAAAAAAATTTCTTGAAAAGTTTTCGTTAATCATGTAACACGTTCATAAATTTAAATAGTATGATACCTCAATTCACGGGCAAGATTTGAGTTCTTTATCTTTTATATATTTTTTAATTTTTATAATTGTTTAATATTCTTATTTTTTAGCACTATGCCTGCTTAATATTAATATGTTTCTTTCGACAACATGTCAAAAGAAACACTTAATTAATACTCAATTAATACTAATATAGAAAATTATTTTACTAAAATCATTGGTCTTCAAAATAAATCTGGAATGTTTTAGTCCAATTTAACATTTTATTTCTTTAAAGGTATATCAGCTATTCATAAAAATTATGTACCCAGAAAATAGTAAATACATTCATTCATTTAATTCAATATCATGTAACATTTTTGCAGGCAATTTATTCTTCTTAGAACATTTGAAATTAAAATTACCCCTTATAAGGCTTTTACGTATAGAATTCAATTTTATGAGTCACACTGTCACGCATATTGTTTTTTTCGTATGCAACATCAAGTATGTAATTATGGACACACTTTGTCATTCCATACAATTAAATATTTTTTGTATTATTTAATGGAACTTTTGTCTCATAATTTGTCAGCCCATTGAAATTTACCTAATAAATTTTTATTGTATAAGAACCGATTAAATTTTTGTAATTCTTGTGTAAGCTTTTGCAATTTATAATTAAAAATTTAATGTAATTTCAATGTTCTTGTAATAAAAGAACCAATTTTTGTAATTTTAATTAATGAATCATTTGTTCTTTTATTTATAACGAACATGAGCAATAACACTGATTGATTTTGTTTTTTTTTGCTTGTAACTATCGTATAGTACACCGTCTTTATTCCCCCATTTATGAATGTAAAATATTGTTGGTAGTCAACAGGAAATAAGAAAACAAAAAAAAAATAAAAGGAATAATAAATTATTCAGTAAAACTGCATTCTTGTAGCTTGCATGTTGTGGCAATAAATTTGAATATTTAAAAAAAAAAAAAAAACACCTGAAAATTTTTTCCATTTTTCGAAAATTCATGTTAAGAGAAAAATAAAAAATTCAAAGTTAAAAAATATTTGAAAATACAAAAAAAAAATTTATACTCACATATGTCCTAGTTCATGTGCAATAGTAAATGCTGCATTCAATCCATTGTCTACAACAACTGAACATGAATTCTTTTTGCATGCTGTACCAAGTTCAGCTAAACCCAATGTATTGCATATCATTTCGGTATCATTTCGGCAAATTGTATGTCTAATATAAAATATTTCAAAAAATAAAAAAATTAGATTAAGAAAATTAATTTATTTTATTATTTATTAAATTGAAAAACATTAATTTTTGATTATAACAATTTAAATAGGTTTAAGCTTACATTTTTACTGACCGCATTGTATACAATAAGGTAGGTTACGTGATGGCACCAAATTTTGGATGTCAAGTTTTAGGTGGGAACGCACTTCTCCATAGTAGGGAAGCGTAAATAAACTACTCGTATTTTTAGAGAGGTGTCGGTCTGTCGGTCTGTCGGAACGTCGGTCTATGTGCACCTATCTTAACTTCGGCTGAACCGATTTTGATGAAATTTTATATTGGAGTTTATTTTGGATATAGCACGGATTGATCAACTATTGAGATATATCAGAACTCGGGAACTGGACCTTTTTACGGTCCAATTTTACATTTTTGGGTATATAAAGAGAAATAAACAAACAATTTCTTTGAACTTGAATATTTCAATGCAGGGTGTTAAAACAATGAATCTATAAATTTTTTGGAAAGATCAGGCCTAAAAGCTTGCTAATATCCTCAAAATTGAAAGGAAGTGTTCAAAATGCATTTTCACAATTTTCTGTAATACTTTCACTAAACTACGGAATATATATTGCGGTCGGTTACGTGCTGCTAACATCAGATTTTTTATATTATTTTCTATGTAAACACTTTATGAAATCTTACAAAATATTACTCGGAAATTTTGTGTATTTTGCATATAAAAAAATTACAAAATCAAAAAATTATTTAGCAATAAGATGTTTATTTTTTTCCTTTATTACAGCAGGAAATATATATACATAGTGATCTAAATATAGTTAGATAGCGTTCTTGTGGTTTGCTTATAATACGTCAAGGAACATGAAAAACTAACAATGCAATATTTCAGAATATGAAAAATCTGCATGAATTTTTAATATACACTGGAATTTATTAATTAATTTCGCAACCAAGTCGTGTAAAATATTTGAAAAATTCTATATTTGATTTCGATTTATTTGAATAATCAATAATTGAAATTTTAAATGGCTCATTTTTCCCTTTGAGGAAATTAAATAATAGTGTTAAAATAATAGTTGTTTTTTGTATACTTCTATAAATGTAGAATTTTTTCATTTGGGTACCAATTATTTTAAAATTTTTTGCATATATTAAGGCGATTATTGTATATATTTTAAGAAATATAAAATGACATGAAATTCTTGAAAAATTTACAAAAGAATAGCTACATAAGGCATCTACGAGTATGTCACTGTCTTTCACACAATTATCGCAATCGGAAGCACAATATCTTACATTTAGTACCTGAACATACAAAAATCAATATTATTGTGTGTTCTTCATAGAACCTATACAACAAAGCGTTTTTTACATGGGAAATTTCAAGATATAATTGCTGCGGTTGCAAGAGCGGTTGAGTAGCGGTCGCGGAGTATTTCCCTTCTTCTGCGAGCAAGAGCAACACACTCTCCCAGAAGGTGTGCTGGATTCTACTTACCTTCCCCTACAGAACATGAAAGTGTGTTCACTTTCTAGGCCTAACCTGCTGTGGTGCCCCCTAAATCTGTAGTGATCCGACAATATCTTAGCGAGAATTGTAAAACCTTTTTCTTGCCCATTTACAATTTTTAAAAATAAATATGTTTATTATATAAAATTTTAAGTGACATACAAGCTCGATTAACACAATTTGTAGAGTAGCACATTTTCTTTGAATAATTAAAAATACTTTTCCCCTCTTTCAGCAAAATATTTACTTTATTTTCATTTTTTCTCTTGGCAATATCGTTGCATACCTTTCAGGCGCGGCCAAATTTAAGTCATTTAATAGTGTTTACAAAATAAAACTTGTCTATGAGAAAAATTATGTTAAAAGTTTGAAATAGCTGCCATTTTGCAATCGTGACATTTGTTAATAAGCCATTCGATGTTAGGAGAAGGAAGTTCTTATATTTCTACATTTTTGTAATTGAAAAATTATTTGTGATTTCTACAACACAATAATTTGACAAAATCTACTAACAATTTCAGAACTTTGAGCGGATATTTCTTCAGGACGTTGTAATTTTGAGTCTTTAGAAGGTTATGAAAGAAGCAAAAATTTTTGCTACAGAAACAAGTTTCTTACAAAAACTGTTTGTCTAATTACATGTATATTTTTCTATCTTAATGGTTGTCGAAGATTTATAAAGAAACGGGGAAATGAATGGACGAACACAGTAAAACTAATAACCCCATTTTTTTCGAAAATTTCTTGAAAATGAGACAAAACGATTTTTGGAAACTTTATAAACCTAACTAACCTTAGCTTTATAAATCTAATTAGCAATTAATAATAACAGTTTTTGGAACATTTGATGCTTATAGAATTTACAATGCAAAAACAAAACAATTAAAACTCGAGCTGACATGAAAAATTTTTATCAGCTCACTAAAATGTTTCAATTTATTTTAACACCAAAAGGGTGTTAAAACAACACCCTTAAAACAGGTTTTTTTTTCTTTATTGCCATTGTAAATTATGATCAAATTAAATTAGTTTACAACAAATTCTTAACTATAGAATCTAAAATGAACTATTCTTAGGTTTTCTCACAAATACTCAACACAAACACATACAATTATTTAGATGTTTAACAAAAAAAAAATAAGACATGATTAACTTACCTTGTAATCAATACAGCTGTGTCGTAATGGAAGTTTCTTTTATCAATGTAACTGCAAAATCGTTTTAAGTAGTAGGGAGCACTTACGCCTGCAATTGCAAAACAAAAAAGAAAAAACCAAATATTTAATATTTTATTTTTATTACTTAATTTTGTTGTTGTAAGAAACATCATTAATGTAATCAAAATATTTACATATACATTTAATATGTGCATGTATATATACATTTATGTATATTTTAAAATCGATCATAAAAAAATTATTTCCTCAATTAAAAATTAGAAACTTATTGTATATTGTACAAGTTTTTATTCATATATTATAGATTTTGTAATTATATGCAACTATTATATGAAAAAGAGTCAAGTTTACTATATAGGTGGCGTATGTTGTTAAAACGCTCCTTATGTACCAATCAAAATAAAAGAAAAAGAAAGAAAAAAAATCTTAGAAACTAAAAGTAAATATTAAAATTTTTGATGGGAGCAGCTCGTTATTGGATTTTAATCGAAATGCTCGAATAGAATTTCACATAGCTAGTTTCTATTTTATGTATACTTATATATTTTTTTGTTCCTCAATTCAGTTATGATATACATACATTGATACATACACACTCACTTAAAAGTAAATTCATATATTATGTTTGATTTCAAAACATACGGTATAATGGAATTTGACTAAAATTGTACAAAAGAATTATAAATTGAAATATTCTTGCATATTCATAAATCACAAGAAGAAGTAAGAAAGAAAAAAAAATTTAAGTAAATAAAAAAATTAAAATTTAAATTTGTCTTTTTCATTTTTGTTTTTTCTCGACAAAAATCGTGCTGCACAGATTTTATGCTACATAACTGAGTTATCTCTTGCCACTATGAGAGTACGAACAAAAATTGTTTTCATTTCAAATCTTAAATTTGAAAGAAATGAAATCGACGATTCGAAACTTTTAATTTTCGTTTCTGTCAAAATTGAAACTAATGCCGTACAGGGAAAGAGAGAGAAAACTCATTTGTTTTCCCTTTGCACTACAATTTTTCTGTTTTTATCGTATTTTTTGCTTTCTATTAACAGTTACGCTATCTAGAATTATTTAAATTGAATAATTAAAATTGAACTAGCTTTAAAATTTAATATTAAAGAGAGAGAAAAATTAAGAAAAATGTCATACGAAGAGAGCTTAAACGAAAACCGTAATTACTTAATACCCATACGAATTGATCATTCTATATTATAAGAAAGCTACAGTAATATCAAGATGCATTTTATGAAATTAATGTATTCATCTCTAAAAACTCAAAACTTTCAATTTCTGCAGAGAATTTTAACATTTACTCAATTAATTGTGTTCCTGTTTTGTAAATTTTTTTTAATAAAATTAAATAAAATAATTTAACTTTACTATACTTTAAAATAAATTCAAAAAACTTATTAGCTTCTAATTCAACGGGGAAGGTATTATACAAAATATATAAGCGTCTTCGTCTATGAGATTTGTTAGTCTTACTTAAGCGGCAACGCTGCGAAATGAAAGGGACTACAATTTTCATATAAAATGTATGAAGATCGTAAAAAGTCGCTTGTATCAGTGCATTATGGTTTGTTCGGATTGTAAATATCTCTTCTAAATATTATTTGAAAATAATTATACGCTGCATAAATGAGCATAGGTACCATTTTTAACCCTATTGGATATAAGTAAATAAAAATTAGCATTTAAATATAAATTACTTAAGTAATTGCATATAAAATGCAAATATTATTTTGGGTATATAAAATTTTTAATCAAATTCTAAAAATATATTTGAACTCAAAATCGCATTTTGAGTAGATTAAAATATTTTTATATAATATGTTCGTATGTATGCATATAAATTGTAATATTTGACATTTTGGCTGGACATAATCAATTTGCTTTTTTGTTTGTTTACTTTTTTTTTCTTTTTGGATTTTATCGAAATGACACTTTAATAAGAGTTTATTTCTTTTATTTTTGTTTTGTTTGGAATTGATTACAAGGAATTATTGGACAAAGAAATATTTAATGCAAAAAACTGAATATTAATGGTGCCACAGTATGACAGCAAATCGAAGAAACGAGAGAAAAGATATACAATTCATTTTAATGAATGAATGAAACAAATGATATGTGACAGAAAAATTGTGTCAATTCCGTCTTATAATCTTTTGTACCATATTCAGTTTTTCTTCTTTGTATTGCCATTTGGTGTTAACCTTTAAATAAGAAAAGCCTATTAAATATTTTAAAGCAAAAATTTATTCCATCAATAAGTAATAAGTTTGTAATTAAATTTATGTAGAGAAAAAAAAAAATAATTGATTTTCATTTTATGAATGATTGAAGTTTTAGGTTTTATGATCCAAATTTGGTTATTCGTTCTATAATTAAACTGAGGTACGCACTTTATTTTCATTTTTTTTTTTCTTCAAAATTTTGTAAATTTTATGGGGGTTGTGTACTTATAAGGATTTTTATATTTTTAGCATGTATAAAATATTAGGAAATATTTTAATTAAAAAATTATAAGTTAGTGTTAAAAATTGAAGGGAAATGATGACAACAGACCGAAAAAATCTCTTATTGCATTTTTCCGGAAAATTACAAAAGCAAATTGCTTATATTAACTTCAATCTTACTATACGGACAGATGGACGAACGAACGAGAGAAATAAAAAGAGAGAATATTATATTTCTATAATATTCTCTCTATTATTTCTCACAAAATCTAAATAGTTTCGATACAATAAATTCTGTCAACGTAGACAAAGGGCTAGTTTCTTGATAAAAAACTAATTAATTTGAACAAATGGTTGTTCAAATTAGTCAGTTTTTTTTTTTATTCAAAATTTTGATAAAGCTGCTGTCTTAGAAGGTACGTTATGGTGCAGGTACCTAAGATTTTTAAGGTTATAGCAATTAATAAATGGTTTATTTCATCGGAACAAAATTTTTTTCCAACTCCCTTCTCTTCTAAGCCTACATCCTATCCCAATTTGTCTATTTCTTTTTAAAGTTCGGAATATTTCAATTTTAAATTTCTGATTTTTCTGAAATTGCAAGCTTTTTTAAATTTCTATAAAATTTCTATAAAAAACTAACGGTTAACGTGATTTTGTGAAACTTAATGTTTCTTTTAATTTTTGTTTTTTTTCCTCCAATAGGTATGCAATTTTATTTGAAGTATAATATTTTACTATTATTAACTATAATTAGATATGTGATATTCCTAGATTCCCTTGTTGGAAAATTGCTTCTTTTAAAAATCATTGGTTTGATTCAAATTTATTTATGTTAAATTTTAATTTTCAATTAATTATTATTACGGTAGTATTACGTGCTACGGACGTGTCAGATATCAAAACAATTAAGTCAAATTCTCTTAGGGGGCAACTTTGTATTATTTTCATAATAGGATTTGTAATATTTCAAATACAAAAAAAATTGTTCTGAGCTTTATGAAAATGTCATGTATGGCGCTAAATTAAATTCCTCTTAAGCTTTAATAACCTTTTATTATATACAATTACATTTATTGGTTAATCTGAAAATTTTAATTATAATTTTCTTTTCTTTAATAACAAGGGCAATTATTTCGAATTCAATATAATTATAATGGGAACATAATACATAAAGACCTCCTCTATTAACATATACAATAGAGTTAGTCTGAAAATTTTTTAATGTAATGACCCTTATACAATTTTATGCTATGGTTTTTATATAGTAACATAAGTTTTATATGAAGTTTTAATAAAAATGTAATGAACTTTTTATGTATTTCAGATCAAATAGAGGTCATTAAAATTTTTTTTTTAATTATAAAAACTAAGGTGCAGCGAAATGATCTGTAATACAAGATAAAATATTAAAATCATTATTATTATGGTTAAATAGAAGATAAATCGAAGGTTCAAGGTAATTTTACATTTTATAATGAAAGATTTTAACATTATAAGAACAACTTGGTTATTGGTATAAAATTGAATTTTATAATTTATATATTTTGAAATGATTTTAGTAATTAAATGCCTACATGTAATTTTTGTAATAAAAAATATGTATTTCAATTTAATTAAAATGCAATGTTTTTTATGAATTTGTAAGAAAATTATTTGAAAAAGTTTTATTTTGTGTGTTAATCTTAATTTTTAGCGTAATTTTAAAAATTTTGTTGGTACTTTTCGCACTTGTTATTGAACGGTCTTTCATACTGTTATATAAGGTCTATACCGTATTAGTAATTGAAATATCACCTTTAATATTTACATAAATGGTGCCTAAAGTACTTCTTTGGTAATTTCCATGTTAGTGCATAAAAAAATAATTAAAGAGTATATACACACATGTATTAAGTATTTAAATTAAATTGTAAAGTTTTTAGTGATAACATTTAAATATGTTAATGTTATGTTAAAGTTTAATTACATTAATTATTTAATTGACAAAAGATTTGAGTGGGTATTTGTCTCTATAATTATTCTTTAAAATTAATATTGTAATTTAATTAAAAAAAAAAAATAAAATTATTAATTGAGTATCACCATTATTGAGAATATTTTAAGATATTAAATTTAATTTATTGAAATAAATGAATATGGTAATTAAAGTTTTTAAATTCTCCGAAGAAGTTTCTCTAACAAATTTAATTGATTTTGGATTTTGATCTTAAAACTTGATTAAAAATTATTTCAAGCCTAATAAGTAGAGTAATTAAGTAAGAGGCGCTTAAAAGACATGATCCGAAATAAAACAGCTAGCGCAAAACAGGGTCAGATGGCGAAGCTTTGTAGATGCCGTGTAGATTCTCAAGGGGAGTAGAAAAGGAAAAAAAAATTAGTAGTAATTTTTGAAAATTTAAAGAATTTATTTCCATATATGTAAAGTAAGCATTTGCAATGAGCGCTAGTTTTTAATTCCAGGCTTTGAATTTTATGACTAATCTTGTATTCAGTATGAAAAAGTAATTTATTACGCTCAAAGCACAATGTGCAATGTTTGTTGTATATTGTTTATTGCTTTGCATGCGGAGATAGGATGAGAGGGGGGGAGGCGCACTTTTTACA